AAGGTTTTAATTCCCGGGATCCATATGAGTAGAGAGTGCAGCACTGTTCATTGCAGCCGAGGGAGAGGTCCTCTCTTGTCGGGCAATGTTTGATCATTATGGGCTGAGAGGTTAAGTGTAAGRCCATTGAGGGTAATACCTGATGGGCTAATCTTGCATTTGCCCACAGTCCCTGGGTGTTATAAGGTGGTTTGGCCCAGGGACCACTTAGGGTAAGTGTTAGGCCCATAGAGCCCATATGATGGGTTTCAGGGGCTGCACTGTCCATAACAGTGTATTCGGCCAAGCCTTGTAACAAAGGCTGGGCTGAACCCATGTGACTGATGTGTAGATCAATGTTTGGGTCCCACGCCATACAAGGAAGCCCAACTGGCAGCAATTTGGAAGGCTAAGTGAGCACATAACCTTATTGGGCCTAAAGCCCATTTCGAACTAGGCTGATTTGATCAGTTAAATAAGAGGTGAATTCTGAGATTAGATTAGCATATAGGATTGGGTCTTAACCCTATCCACTCACAGAGTCCAGATCTGAATGTGATTCAGATCTGGAAACCTCCTAATAGGATTAGGAGGGGGCTGATCTAATCTACAGATAAGATAAGGGTTTACCCTTATCACTTAAAGGGAATTCTGATCCAAATATGATTTGGATCAGCAACTCCTAATGGGATTAGGAGCTGATCCCTTTAAGCTTATAAAAGAAGGAGGGGGTGGCAGCCTTAAGGAGACATTTCATATTCACATCCTCTTTAGAGCTGAAATCACAGAAGAGAGAATTCAGCATCACTGTGCTAAATTCTTTCTTGCCGCCTCCTTCCTGCCGCCGCCATATCTGCCAATTCGATCTCCTATTCTCAGTGGGATTGATCAAGATTGGATCTTGATATCAGTCCTTTGTGAAAGGGCTGATTGGAAGTAGTGCTCACATGCCATCCAACTGATTCTTGCAAAGGATTTGATTCTTTTGAAGAGCACTGCTGATTCTGCTCCATCCTGCACTGCGCCATCTTCAGTGGGAGTAGATTTTGGTTCCTTACTTGGGCGTGAACACCTCCATTGGGAGATACTATTTCTCCGTATCAGGTATATCCCTCTCCTACTGCTTTTGTTCAGATCTGGTTCGGTTCTTGGTTCAAGATTGATCCTTGAAAAATATGATTTTTCTAAAATAAGGAATACGATTCCCAGTAGGATGGAGAGAAATTTTTGAAATGTCCCTATCTCCAAAAATCTGGTTCGGGCATCCATACGATGGATATCTCATCCCTTCACTATTGGCAATGTCCCTATCTCCAAAAATGTGGTAGAAGCTCTTTCAATGCCTAAATGGACAGATGCAATGAAAGAATAGATGGATGCCTTACATAAAAATGGTACATGGGAATTAATGGACCTTCTTGTGGGAAAGGAACCGGTAGGGTGCAAGTGGGTTTTTATAATAAAGCATAAGGCTCATGGTACAGTAGAAAGGTAAAAAGCTTGGTTGGTGGCGAAAGGGTTTACTCAACTGTATGGAGTAGACTATGTAGAGACATTTGCTCCAATTGCTAAGATGAATTCTATCAGAGTTCTTTTTTCTCTTGCTGTTAACCTTGATTGGGATCTCCACCAGTTAGATATTAAAAATGCCTTCCTGAATGGTGATCTTGAAGAAGAGGTGCACATGGTGCAAGCTCTTGGTTTTTATGCTCAAGACCAAGAAAAAAAGGTGTGTAGATTAAAGAAGTCCTTGTACGAACTAAAACAATCACTAAGAGCTTGGTTCAGGAAATTTCATCTAGTTGTACAACAGATTGGTTATAAACAGTGTCAAACTAATCATACATTATTTGTGAAAAAAGGAGAGGGAAAATTTGTAGCTTTATTATTGTATGTTGATGACATAGTGATCACAGGCGATTGGAAGGTGGAAATTCAGAGATTAAAGATGTTCCTAGCCACTCAATTTGAGGTGAAGGATCTAGGTTCCTTGAAGTATTTTCTTGGAATTGAAGTGGCCTGTTCAAAAATGGGGATCTTCATTTCTCAAAGAAAATACATCTTAGATTTATTACAAGATGCAGGAAAACTTGGAGTCAAGCTTGTTGACTCCCCCATTGATCCAAACCACAAATTAGGTGATTGTCAAGGTGAGACTATCAAGGATGTAAAACAATTCCAAAGACTTGTGGGCAGACTATTATATTTGTCTATGACACCGCCGAACATTGCTTATGTTGTGAGTGTTCTTAGCCAATTCATGCATGTTCCTAAGACTACACACTTAAAGGCAGCCAATAGAATCCTCAAGTACCTAAAGAAATTCCCAAGGGCTGGTTTATTTTACCAAAAGAATGGCCACTTGAAGGTTGATGTGTATATAGATGATGACTGGGCCAGACCAGTTGATGACAGAAAGTCTATTAGTGGGTATTGTACCTTTGTGGGAGGAAACCTAGTCATGTGGAGAAGCAAGACACAGAATGTTGTGGCGAGGTCTAGTGTTGAAGTTGTCCCATGGAGTGGCTGAAGTTCTGGATAAAGAACTTGTTGAATGAGTTGGGATTTCTTGTAGATGGCCCCATATCCTTGTATTGTGATAACAAAGCTGCCAACCCAGTACTTCATGATAAAACTAAACATATTGAAGTTGACAAGCATTTTATTAGGGAAAAAATTATAAAGGGGGAAGTGTGCACTCCATATGTCAGTTCCACAGATCAACTTGCAGACATCTTTACCAAGGGGTTACATCATTCGCGACACAATGATTTATGTGACAAGTTGGGCATGATTGATATCTATTTCCCAACTTGAGGAGGAGTGTTGAAATCAGTTTGTTTCACCTAGTTTTTTATTTATTTTTCTGTTCTTTAGTGCCGTAGGGGTACTCTTGTAATTCCTCTTATCTTTATTATTAGTTGGGTCGCCCTAATATAAAAGCTAATAGCTGGCACTGCCAGCCATATGTTTTGAATCCAATTTTTCTTCTCTCTTCTCTCTTCTTCCTTCCTCCTCTCTTCCTCTCCTTCTCTGATATCTCTAGCCTGGAAAACAGAATTCAATCGAGTTGAGCTAATACATACCTAATCAGAGATTTCCAAGAAAACTAGAGAAGAAAAGTTGGTTAGAATTCACATTTTTTGGCAATGCCTACCCAAATTCAGAGATATATTATGGCCTATGATATTATATCTTTCAGAACTATATCATGCATCTTTTTTCTGTTTAATTATTGAATGTTAACAATTATCCAATTCAATGTAAAGGAAAATGTGTAACCACATTTTATAGTATGATGATATTTTTATAAGTATTTAAAAGTATGATATATTTTCTTGTAAATGTGAAATAAATAAATATACTCTGGATAAATATATCTAGAAAAAAAAAGAAAAAAAAAACTTATATAGTAGTTAGGAATGGGCTAACCATCTAAAAGCTTATGACTTATCATCATTCCATAAAGAGCTAGATTGACACTTAAGATGCTGAATTGCTGATAATGATAAAAAGAAATATGGAAGAATAAACACCTATGAACAACACAAATCATTCAAATCATCCAATACATTAGTATACAGAAATTACTATATATTCAAATAGGAAAAGTCTCCTTCTATCTACATGGGAAGTTTTTTGGATCAGTCTATCTCATGGAAAGTTTTACCTAAATTTTCTATCATTAGAAGAAAGACACTTTTTCTAGGTCATATGTTTAAAAATTAAAACTTAAAGGTTTAATGGATAACAAAGTTTGAGAAGTTATACTAGTCACAGAGGTAGCTAGCGATGGTAATTGGGTATGTTGGCCGTGGGTTGAGCTCCAACCTACCCATTTAACACCAATCTAGATCCAAATGGTATAACTCAACCCACACCCACTCTGCACCAACCCAACCCCCACCTATTCAAATTCCATGCTTTGGAAACAATCTCTTTTACCCCTTTTGGCTTGGCCATTTAGAAAGAGGAGGAGGATCTGAACATAGACAGAGCACAAAGAAGAACTGGAAAATATAAAAGCACACACACACACACACACACAATCAATAACCATGATCTTTGTTTTATACTTTATACAAAAGGAACTTAATTGGTATCCATGACCAAACCCAAATCCACCCATTTATACTCAAACCAAATAGATTTCCCATGCACGTCTATGTGTGTGTGAGTGAGAGAGAGAGAGAGAGAGAGAGAGAGAGATCTACTTCATTTTCTAGCTGCATCATTGCATCATAGATAGCAAAACCCTCTGACTCCATCCCAACCTGTAACAATAAACACTTCCACCTCAGAAGGAACCTTATGAAGCAAATGTACCACTATTCTAGATATCTATATCACCATAAGAAAGCAATTTTAGGAGGAATAAATTCACCCAGAACCTGTAAAAGGAAACCCATGTATTGTGAATGATCAATATCACAATGCAATATTCATAGTTTTTGGACCATGAAGTACAGTACAATGTTATTCAAGTGGGTGTTGCACTCATACACCTTTTTCTATATGTTTCATGTATAAAAGAAGAAGATGCTCTGATCTAAACAGGGCAAATACATTCCCCAATATAGAATGGCACTGTGATAACTCCCTACTGTTTAGAAACTAATACATAAGCTGATATATTAACTCCATAATGTTTAGAAACTAATAATTAAGCTGATACATTCAAAACATTCTAAAACCTGGTTTATAGGTCAACAGAGAAGGAATAAACACTAGAAAACATTGACAATAAAACCAAGTCTGCATTTCGTGTCACATCAAAGATAACTTTTTTAACAACATGATTTTAAATAAAATAAGGTTCATGAGATATATTCATTGAAATAAGAAAAAAGTGTTTTAACCCACCCATGGAAAACAAATATCTTTTCATCCTTTGCAATATCTTAGGATTAGTTTCTTATATATGTTGAGCGTAGGCCTTGTTGCAACAGTTGGGTTGCTTCATTGTCACTTGGGTAACCAGGGTTTGAATATTGGAAACAGGTAAACAGCCTCTCTGTGTAACTGTAGGGGTAAGATTGCATACATCTGTCCCTCCCCAGACCCTGCACTGGTGGGAGCCTCGTGCACAGGTCTGGGTAATCAACCAACTGTGTAATGCATGATCTACGAAAATAACATCCTACAACCTTGTTTTTGGGTTGACAGAAAGGACTAAGAACTGGAAGGATGAGTAATCAACCAACTAAACTGAGCCGCCACTCATATCATATCCAAGATAATTTTTTAACAATGGGTTTTATAAATGAAACGAGGATGAAGGATCATGGTGTATGTTGATTGAAATAAAAGTGAAAAGTTTTTAATCTATGGGTCAAGTAAATATTTTAAGTTAGATATGTTATTGTTGGTAATGAGGTATATATAATGTACGATTTTATGCACCAGTGAATGTGCTGGAGATTAAGTATGAAGACTGGGAATACATTAAACATATGGATGGAGTAAGCTCCAGTTGAAATCTCTTTTTCTGATAGTAAAAAGCTCCTATGAAATAATTTCTAAATATGGCATCATATGTAGGAGTAGGACGTGAAAGGTTAGATAAGATATTATAGTAGAATGACAGAATCACTACAAGGGGGTAGACAGAGACTAACCGTTTCACCATCATCACGGGTGGTACCAGTTGAATTAATATAAATATAAATTGGTTCTTTTGGATCCATCCACTGCAGGTAAAGCAATTCTGCAATCACAAGCTCTGTGACAGCTGGAACCAACTGATAAAAATAAAAGTTAGTTTGTAACTATTGCAGGACCAAAACAATTACTATGTATTACAGTGATGGTTAAAGAAATAATACTTAAGAAACTGACTAACATGAATGAGTAACTGTGATTTCTAGCTATTCACAAAACCATGTATAGGCCCTTCTATATTGCCAAGCACATAGTTGCTAAATTAGAAATTTCACAAACAAGTGAAGAAATAATAGCAAGGACCACAACTCTATATTCTTTTGTTCTCTCTGTTGATGCATAGTTTTTTCTATCATCCACAACATCTATATTTTTTTTGTTTTCTCTGTTGATGCATAGTTTTTTGATCGTCCACAACATCTATATTTTTTTGTTCTCTCTGTTGATGCATAGTTTTTGATCATCCACAACATCTATATCATACAACAGCATCAACGATGCAAAAGAACCATGAACCAAGTCTTTCAAGTAACCAGACCTCTATTGTCAAAGTGGATAGGCCGACTAATTACTTAATTCCTCCTCCTCCTCCTTTCTAAGCTCATCTAATCTATGCTGGGAGACGACTTTCAATCAAGGCCGTTAAGAAGCGTGTTAGTAACATAATACTTACTGGCATGCCAATATAAACAATCCTCCCATGGAGAAGTAGTGATGGCAAATCTGGTGGAGGCTTCCTTGGTCTGTGTTCGTTATAAGATACAGAGCGTTCCACCTGGTTCATAAATAATGAAACTAGGAAAAGTGATGAACAAATTCTTAAAAGAAAAGGAAAAGCAATCAGCATATAAATAGGACTTCAAAAAATAACTTAATTCCACAAGAGAACAACAATCGAAACTTTTATTCAAGAAACCTCGAAACGAATAAACTTCAACATGGCAGTCATGAAATTATTCAAGAAACGGGATAAATTGCTGACGGAATCGATGAAAAGTTTCAAATAAAATGATTTAATAACCTCAATCAGCATTATAATGCGAGGCAAGACTAGGGAAAACACAAAAGCCGAGCATATATAAAGAAGAATTACAAGAAAAAGGAAAAGAAAGCCAAACCAAAGGTAATATATGGAAACAATTAACTAAATACTGAACAAATAAATTTTATGGAAGAATCAAGAAATCAAGAAATGAGGGACTCTTACCTGAGCCGGGCTTGCCATGAGCTTCGGAGAGTCGAAAAGATCCAGATATGGAGGAGTATCTGAATTTGAAGGTCGGGAGAGTAAAGACTCTGGAGAAGCTGCAGCGACTGAAGCAAGCTTGGAGAGAAAGGGGTCTCGGGGGTTCAACGGAGGCACAGGAATCTTGGCCGCACATCTGCTGTTAATGCTGCAGCAGGTCTTAAAGCTCCGTCCTTTGGAGGAGGAACAAGAAGAAGATAACGACGACGCCAAGGGCGCTTGCAGTTGCAGATACGTCGCCATTCTTGCACGAGCTCTCTACCGCTCTGTTATGAACTTCCAGTAAATCCTTCTCTGATTCTTGCTTGAGTGGTGGTGTTTTAGAAAAGCTTTGGCTTTGGTCCCTTCAGACTTTAAATCTTTAATCCAACCTGAGTACCTGACTTATATCAAACTGGTTTTTTCCAACTCTCCGTTCAAGTTGGAGTGGGCTGGATTTGGGTTTGCGCAAAATGAGTTGCACCCCAAATAAGGGTGCCAATGGACCGGTTTTGGATTGGACCCCGTCCGGTGCAAAATCAATTTGGACGGATTGGACGGACCAACAAGATATATTGAATTGGACCAATGGGTTCAAAATATTTATTAGATTGGATTGGATCTTGTTCGTTCGTAACAAATTTATATTGAATTAGGTTGGATTAAGCCAATATCTGATCCATTGATATAAGATAAGAATATATGTATCAATGGACCGGATTTGAGTTGAAACCAATCTAAATCAAAATGAATTTGAACAGATTGGATGGTCCAAACATTGAATTAGACCAGTCCAAATTGATGCAAAACATTCATTAGATTGGATTAGATCTGGTCCATTTATAATGGACTCACATCGGAATGGATCGGATTGGATCAAATCCGAGCATAGACAAGGGCCATTTTTTCAGCCTTAATAGAAGGCCTAAGAGCTAATACTGGCCCATTGACTTGAATTTACTGGATTTGGTCCAATCCAATCCCGTCCAATATGAGTCCATTCTAAATAGATCAAGTCCAATCCAATCTAATGAATACTTTGAACCATTTTGGACCAGTCCAATCCAATGTTTGGACTGTTCAATCTGTTTAAATTGGTTTTAATTTAGATTGGTTCTAACCCAAACCTAGTCCCTTGGCACCTGTATTTTTATCTCCTATCAATGGACCAAATATTGGTTATTATTGAATCGAGTGGAATATAAACCATTACAGATGGACCAGGTCCAATCCAACCGAAAAAATATTTTGAATCATTAAATCTGAAATGGTTTAATTCAATGTGTCTTATTGGTCCATCCAATCCATTAAAATTGATTTTGATTTGAATGAGGTTTAAACCAAACCAGTCCATTAGCACCTCTGATTACAAAGCCCAGGACTAAATATCAACATATAAATGTGCCCAGCTCCTAATGATGATGAGCCGATGTCTTTTTCCTTGCTTTTATTAGAAAGAGAAGAGGCTACACAAGACAGGGGTAGCACGTCCCCAAGAGTCAATTAGACAAACAGAAACGATGTTCCATAGGAGGTTAGATAAATCTAAAGAAATGGAATCCGAGATGCTTGCAAGAGCTTCATGTGTCAAGAGATTAGCAGCTTGGTTTGCCTCCTAATAAACGTGACGATAGGAAACTCCCTTATTGAACCTCTCCAAGAACTCCAAACAGCTTGAAATGATATTCTTCAATCTCAACGGAGACGGAGGTCGGGTGATCTATTGCAGGCAAGAGATGACTAGTCTCCTTCACTGATGATAGAGGAATCTTTGAAATTTAGAGTCAAGTTATGCACTTATCATGCCGCCCAAGCCTCGGTGCATTAATGGTGGTGTACCCAAGTTTGCAACATTTTAAAAAATGACTCGCAAATAGAATCATTCTGGCCACCAATTTTCGGGTCAACAGTCTAATCATCTGGTTCGAATGGATGGCCCGTTCTAACAACAAAATTAAAAATAAAAAAAATTGGTTAAAAATTGTTGAACGGGTCGATAGGTCAATGGTTCAACCGCCTGGGTCAACGGTTTATTGACTTTTTCAACGGTTTTTTACTAGATTCTGGATTTTGGATAAAACGGAACCGATTGCCTAGATGGTTCCCGGGATGAACGGTCCGACCATCCAGGTCAACGGCAGTTCAAAAACGTTGCAAATTTGTATGCTTTAATGTCTAAAATATTACCTAGGTGATCCCTTACAATGCTTGTCATTGAACAATTACCCGCATGCATGAGATATCAAAATTAACCTCGATACACCCAGCCTTTGGACTTTCCTACACAATTTGGTCTCCATGGTTTCTGCTAATATTGCTATTTCGATACTCTCTAAAAAGAAATAGAGCCCTCTCAAGAATTACAAGAGGAAGGATGAGGAGTTGTGAAAAGTCTTTAGGTTTCTATTTTTCCAAATCAACCATAAGATACATGTTATTTTTTCAAGCATTTGATCCTCCATGCTGTTGGGACTACCACTCATTCTATTCCACCAGTCCCAAGTACTATTATCATCCTCGCAAGGTCCTTCTATTGATGCGGAGACCGTTAGCCATGTCACACCCCCTAAAAATGTTATCTATATCCTCTATGTCACCACAAAAACAGCAAGATGTGCTAGTGTTAATAAAGTCTCTCTTTTAAGTTAAATTTAGGGCTTGTTCGTTTCCTCTGAAATCTGACATTTAAAAGTATAATAATTACATTACGAGGTATATTGGTATTGGTGAATTTTTCTTTCCTTTGAACTTTGAATGCAGAGAATGTTGTTCTGAATTCTGAATTCTAAATTTTGAAAATTATTAAATATCCATTTTAACCCTATATATGAGAATTTATGTTTCTCTTTTTTGAGAGTATCATTGAAAAACAAAAAATTGTATGATTGCATTTTAAGAGATAAGAGTAAAAGGAAACGGACAACCATTTTTCTCTTAAAATTAAAAGATTCCTCTTAAGAAATAAGAGTTAAGAGGAAACGAACAGACCCTTAGAAGGGAGCCCGTTGTTAAGCAATAAATATAGGTAGGCTTTAATTTTCAGAGGGCACTAACGGTTATATAGGTTGTCACCATCCTTGATGGGGAAAATCTTGTTGTGTTGGTAGTTTTAGCTGAAAATTTTCCATATGGGTTGAGCTTCCATGTCATATTGTCCTTGCTAGTGTTAGAATGAATAAAAATGGATCTTATCATGAGCCAAATTTGGTTGGAAATCAAATTATGGATTTTATTCTCTCCAACAACCTCTTTCATGATCTATCACTTCAGTGACTAACATATTACGGTTTCTTATTCTATTCTGGTCAACCAGTTCAGACAAAGGAGAGTCATTGGCCCATCTATCGTCCCAAAACTTGATGGTCCCTCCATTGCTCACTGTCCAATCTATTCCCTTCTTAAGGAGATCCCTAGATAACAGGATACCTCTCCAAGCCTAAGAAATCCCCTTCTTAGCTTTTAATACTTCAGAAGTTCTCTCCCATAATGTATTTAACCCTCATTATTTTCACCCATAAGTTATTTTCTTCGTTAAGAATTTTCAATCCCAATTTAACCAAACTAGCCTCATTGCTCTAATGTAAGTGGTTGGTACTGGGCCTAACACTTTTGACATAAGTAGCTCAAACACTTCATTTTCGGCATCCTCTAGATGTCTGGGTCAAGTATAGTTCCCACAGGATCCATGAGGGTGTTTAAAGGGAACTAAGTAGGGCTGCAAACATTATCTGATTATCTCTGAATCCAAATTCGAATTTGATAGTAGGGTAGTCCAAATTTGATCCGTTTATAATAGAATCAAATACAAATACCCCACCCGATTCAATTCAATTTAAATACATATGCTCTTATATGTTTAAAATTTATATTATATCTATTATTGAAGTTGATCTAAATATTGTATTTTCACTAAATTGTCAAAGGTAATATTTTGATAGTTTGAAGTCTAATTTATTTATACCATTTTATATCCAATTATAATCTGAATCCTATTCGAATCTGCTAGATATCTATGGATATGATACGATTTCAATTCGAATATAAACAAATCAAATTTCAATCTGCCTATATCCAATTCAATCCGATTCATTTGTAGCCTACCATGGAGGCCGGCCCCTTAGTTGCAATTTGCAAAGCTCATCTTCAATACTTCACTTCTCCTTTCATTTATTTTAACTTTTGAGGCTTTGTGTAATTAATTAAAATCTTATAAGTTACTCGAAATTTAGAATGTTTTATTCATTATCATTTCCATGACATGTAGTTGGACCCAATGATTTGTAAGGAGGCGTATGATGTGTCTTTGTGAATTGGGACATGCCCCATGGAACATCCTAACTGTGCATTGGGAATAATTCCTCATGATAAGTACGAGAAATGTTTTTAATGCACCTTGAGATGTGCATGTGGGGTGTGTATAGGGTACACAATATGTAAGGATAGCAATTTATGCCCTACCCAGTGAGTACCCACCCCTACTTGCCCTAATGGGGCTTTTTTTTTTTTGCTTGAAGGATGAATTTTGGGATTCTACAACCCATATGGGTACGGGTACAAAACAATATTAGGATAAACCCAACCCTCCCTGACCCACATATTGTTGAACAACATATAAAATTTAAAATTAGATGTTGATTTTAATAATTTTTTGAATTTTATGTGAAGGATAATTGATGATTTATATGCATTTTACATGTCTTAATCAAATAATTGGAAACTTTGTTGTTTGTTTGTGTTATTTTACTTATTTATTGCTTATATATAACAAGAAACAATAAGGAATTAGATGTGGATTCTAAACCCAACCCGCTCCTATCCTTGAATACAAGGAAAGCAAGGTCAGGGAGGGTTTTGCATTTTCACGTGCGGGGAGGATTTGAATTCTCAAGATCCAACCCACTACAACTTTTAGGGTGAGTATAGATTGGGGGGGTTATGGAGGCAGGTAGGGTCTAAAATTTACAAAACCCTCCCCAAACCCACCCCATTGCCATCCCTAACTATATGGGGAGCCGATTTGAACTCAGTACCAACACACCTTAGTGGTTTATACTAGAATTTGGTAGTTTATGTAATTCTCATGGTTTGAACAACTTGTAACTTGACACTATTGTTTTGTTGATGGCTTGATGTTGGATAGAATTTGGTTTTTTCTTAAAAAAAAAAAAAACTGTAGCAGACTATAGCCAAATAAATATTTAGGCTCCATTTTGTTTACGTTTAGAATTGGTATGGTCTATTCCTTGCTTGTTTGATCGACACATGAATCAAAATTGGAATTGGAATCAATTGATCCTAAGGGATGGATGGAAACACTAATGTAATATTAGTTATGTGTCGCAAGGGGCACTTTAGTTCTTTTCTTCTTTTTTTGTTTTGTACAGTCACTCTACTCTATAAATATAAGTTTTGACACTACCAACATATCTTTTTAGC